TGGGTGGGCGGAAAGGATATGTGACAGCTGGGCAGGCAGCACTGGGCAGCAGCAGGGAGCGGAGGGCGGAGGCAGCCCTGGCAGTTGTCCTCAGAAGCCCCCAGGAGCTGGGGTCAGGGGCGCCCCCGGGCAGACCAGGGCCCAGCCTTGGCCACACGGGGGCACCGCAGGGGCCTGGCTTGGGCCACTCCACTCCGCCCCCACCCTCCCAGCGCTCCTCCCTCCTGAGGCTCACCCCTTGTCCCTCCCCAACGGGGCTGGCCTCTGCACCTCCAGGGCTCCCGGCCATCAGGCCCCATCCGGGATGCTCCTCCTGGTCCCTCGCAGTCCCCAGCTGTTCCCACCACCTCCATGCCACAGCCCGGGTGTCTTTGTACCCTCTCACCCGCCTCCTTTCTTGGGAGCCATGGGCACCTGTCTCCTCAGTGGCCTTTGCACAGCTGCTGTCTCTTTGTCCCCCTTTTTTGGTGTCCTCGTGGTGTCTTCTGCCTCGAGGCCCTCACCTGTCCCCCCGGGTGCCACGTTCCGGAGCTGATCCTGGGAGCAGACACGGGCCTCCCTCGAGGCCATGCGGGTCACCCTCGACTGGGCCCTGGTGGCCTTCCCTGGGTGTGATGCGCGGGCTGGTTCCCGCGAGGCCACCGCTGCCCAGGGAGCTCCTCCAGAGAGGCTCGCTGTCCCCCCCAGGTACTACCGCGGCGCAGTGGGCGCCCTGCTAGTGTATGACATCGCCAAGCACCTGACCTACGAGAACGTGGAGCGCTGGCTGAAGGAGCTGCGAGATCATGCGGACAGTAACATCGTCATCATGCTGGTGGGCAACAAGAGTGACCTGCGCCACCTGCGCGCCGTGCCCACCGACGAGGCCCGCGCCTTTGCAGGTGAGCTGCGGGGTGGCCGCAGGAGGCGCGGAGGCCGGGAGGCCCCCGCCGGGTCCGGCCACACGGCAGCCTCCCCTCCCTGGGGAGGGCCCTGGTGTCCCGGGCCAGGCAGACGGGTCCTCAGGAGGTGTGCAGGACCGTCACCCCCGCCTCCCGCTCACCTGGGCAGTATTCTCTGTTCCAGAAAAGAACAACTTGTCCTTCATCGAGACCTCAGCCTTGGATTCCACCAACGTAGAGGAAGCATTCAAGAACATCCTCACAGGTGGGCACAGGGCCAGAGGGGTAGGGTCGGGAGGGCACAGCCAGCCAGGCTGACGCAACCTTGAGCCTGGCCTGTTAAGCCTGCCCGTCCGGTGACACAAGGACAGACAGGGCACATTCCGTGGGGTCTGGCCAGATCTGACCCTTGCTGGCACACAGGACACAGAAGACCTCCTTACCCCAGCCCCCGTGGGTGGATCCTGCCTTGGCTTGCGGGGCTTCAGGGAGGCCCTTGGCTTCCTGGAGTTGACTTACTAAATTTTTTGTAGAGAATGGGATCTTGCTATGTTGCCCTGGCTGGTCTCAAACTCCTGGGCCCAAGTGGTCCTCCTGCCTCAGCCTTCCCAGTAGCTGGGACTACAGGCACATGCCACCATGCCTGGCTAATTTTTTGAGTTTTGATTTTTCTTTCTTTTTTTTTTTGTGGAGACAGTGTCTCACTGTGTTGCCCAGGCTGGTCTCAAACTCCTGGACTTAAGCCATCCTCCGCTTCAGTCTCCCAAGGTGCTGGGATTACAGGAGTGAGCCACTGCACCTGGCCTGGAGTTTATTTTCAAGGGGGGGGGCTCTGATCTTAGGGAACCCAAAGCCAGGGTGCTGTGACCAGATGTGGGTCTCAGGCTGCTGAGTGCACAGCCCGCGAGCGAGCAGGTGACAGTCCTGGAGCCAGCCCCTGTCACAGCTATCTCGGCGGTGGGGGCCTCAAGGGGGGCTTCGGAGCCCTGCAGGAGGCAGTCCCCGCGTGGGCAGGCACAGCTCACTCCCGGCAACCTCCCCCCTCCCGCAGAGATCTACCGCATTGTGTCACAGAAGCAGATCGCCGACCGCGCAGCCCACGACGAGTCCCCCGGCAACAACGTGGTGGACATCAGCGTGCCGCCCACCACGGACGGACAGAAGCCCAACAAGCTGCAGTGCTGCCAGAACCTGTGACCCCGCGCCCGCCCCAGCGTGCGTGCACGTCCGCCTGTCCCCTCCCCGCTGTCCCTCTGTGACCGGCTGGCTCCCGCCCTCCCAGTGGGCTCCACACGGCCGGGCCGGGGCCCAGGAAGAACAGGAGCCAGTGGCACCCCCGTCCTGCCCAGGGGAAGCTAGAGCCACGCTTGCTGCACCAACTCGGGCCTAGTGGGCGTCTCGGCGGGGTGGGGAGGGCGGCAGGATGGACAGGGCCGCCAGAGGCAGGAGGACGGGCGGCCGGAG